GTGCTCCCAATCTGCCCCAAAAGGGGCACAGAGGGGGCAGCCCGGTGCGCCCCGCTGTGCGGGATGGGGGCCCTGAGTGCCCCCCTCTCTGCGTTGGGGCCGTTTAGCGCGAGCGGCTCTTGCGGTCGCCCTGGGGTGGCCGTGGCTCTGCTCTTCAGAGGGACCTCGTGTTTGGCCGCGTCAGGCTCCTCATGTCGACAGCTAGTGTGAGAGGGCAGGCAACAATACAGATATAAGAAAAGGAAAGTGAGGAATGTAAACAGCTCTGTGTTTTCCCTGTATTTACTTATGTATTTATTTATTTTTGAGGAACTTATACGTAGTCAGCTCTGCTAATGTATTACAACCTCCATTTCATAACAAAATATTACGATTTCATTTGATGAGAAATCTGCCTGGTTGGTCTTTGCAATGCGACTTCCTGAGAACATGCCCTGGTTTAGCTCAGAGTGCAGTAAGCGCCTTGGTAAGATGCACTGACATTACAGTACAGGAAAATAACCAGAAGGACGGATTCAAAGGCAATGGAAAAACTCCTGGGACAGGATTAATCGCATCTAAGTTTAGGCAATCCAGTGTAGACATCTGTATGTGAACTTATTGTGCAGACTCCCCTTATAATGAATTGTGGCCATTTAAGGCTTTAGATTTAGATTTATCGATTAACTACCTTTTTTAGGATGAGATGGGTTGCCTCAGAGAAGCAACTGGTTTTTGCTGTGGACAGATGCACTTGATTTAGAGTCTGCCGTGGAATCATAGCATTTGGGTCAGGCTCTTGGGTGCTTATTTTAGATCATGTTCCTTAATACAGTATGTTGAAATACAGACCTCAGATTGCAACTGCAGTAAAAGTGCATCATTCACTTGAGCTTGAATTTTTGATTACTCATAGAGTAACATTTATATTGTATGTTCTGATTTTTGCTTTTTGTATTTTATCTCTATATATTTAATTAGGTTCGCATCTTAGTTTCTGCCCGCTTATTCAGACACTCCTAGCTGAGGTTGATGTTGATTTCAGCATGAGTTGGAATGATTCACTAGTTAACACTACAAGGGAAAGTGTGAAATGCACCCAATACTATGAATAAGTGAGAGGGGTGTTAGTTTTGTCCACACTTCCAGTTAAGATTTTGGGGCAGACTGGTTATTTCAATATAATCCTGTTCTTTTCCTCTGCTAATAAGTTTTTCTGTATGTGTCAAACAAGTCAGTGAAAGAAACATTACCCAAATATTAGGGTTTACAAAAAATCCTTTCCGGCACTGTGTGAATCCAGGTGGCTTTGTGACATCTGAAGGGGAAGGAGAACTGCCTCTCCCCAAGAGAAGAATCAGTGACCCCATCCTGCTCTGTTCAGTCTGGCAACATCTTCCAATAATTCATCTATATACAAAGTTACTCGCATATATCAAAGTGACCTGCAGTACTGAAAAATGAGCAGCGGTATCGGCCTCCAGAGCAGTCACTCAGACCTAGAAACAGGCGCGGGATTTTGCTTTCAGTGTATCCTCACTTACCTTAGATTCCCAGGTGGCAGTGAAAGGCGTAATTGTTCTCAGATTCAAATCGATGGGCCTTGCAAATCCATTACTTTGGCCCATGTTGTTTCTGTCAACTTCTGTGTAACTGTGTGTGTTTCCTCTGTAAGGCTGTGGGGTTTGTTTCACCATGTTAAGCCATGGAGACCTGTGAAAATTGCTGCTAAGATAATTTTGCCTGGCCTCTGTAATAGGCTAAAGCAATAACCTTTGTGGTAGCTCAAGAATACCACTCTGAAAAATAAATGCAAAAATCTTTGTTTGAGGCAAAAGGCAAATACAGAGTTTTGACATG